TTCTTCCAGGGCATTTCTTCATTAATATTTCATTCATGTTAGCGTACTACGTAAAAGACAGCAAAGTGGTGTAAAATTAGAGGGTATTTTCAACAAATAGTTTTTTAATAAGCAATCTTAAGTGTCATAATAGTTACGAATCCTGAATAATTTAGACATAAATAACACAAGGCACATCCTAAGACATACAGCAGTATCTAGATAAAGTAGTAGTACAGTAGGGGGCATCCCAAGTGGCGCAGCAAGTTGAGCGCGGCACTGTGAAGCTGTCCTCAGCCTCTGCAGCGCGGGTTCGATTCCCGGTGACCAGGGAGATTCCCACATGTCACAGCAGACCTCTCCTGCCTCGCCTGCTGCTCCCCTCAGCAGTGTATTTCAGTCAATCTGCCTGTTCTGTTCCCCACTCTGTCTCTGGTGAATCCTCTCACCCTCCTGCGCCTGACTGGACCCCAGTTCTTGTATAAATAAATAACTTTAAAAAAAAGTAGTGTATTAACATTCTACCTTGTACTTTTTGACATTTTATTGGAAAAATAACCTGAAAAAAAAAAATGCTAATAAAAAGAACATCTGAGAAAAATTTTGTATTTTTAAAAAAGTGCATTCCAGGGCCTCCCTGATGGCACAGGCAGTTGAGCACAGCGCTGTGGAACTGTATGCAGCCTTTGTGGCACGGGTTCGATCCCGGCCCAGCTGGGGAGATACCCACATGGTGCAGCAGACCTCCCCTTTCTCCCCTGCTGCTCCCCTCAGCAGTGTATTTCCGTCAGTCTACCTGTTCTGTTCCCCCCTCTGTGTCTGGTGAGTACTCTCACCCTCCCGCACATCTGGCCTATACCCTGGTTCTTGTATAAATAAATAAATCTTTTTTAAAAAGTGCATTCCACTGGTATTTTTAACCAACCCAGGGGATGTTATAGGATTTTCTCTGAGGCGTCATATTGCAGATTCCCTCATTTTGGCTACAGGCAGTCACGTTGACGGCCACTGAGGACCACTGCTAGAGCATTGATGAGACAGCCCTTGCAGTTCTCCCTTTTTGTTACTCAATAGCTGGAATAAAGCCCACTCTCTCAGTCTCATGCCACCAGGAAAGCAAGATATGGCCTCCCTGCTAAAGACAGCCTCACTTGCTTTATTCTGCTCTCAGGACTCTTGTTGGAATGTTCACTGATCCTCAAAGTTAAAAAAAAATATATTCATTTCAGACTTTATTTCTTTGATATATTCTCTAAGTCCTGAATATAACTTTGAAACTAATATATTAATTATGAATACATATATAGTAAAATTAAAATGAAAAGAGGAAAAATAATAAAGCCAAACTTCAGGATAGTGTTATCACAGGATAGAGGGAGACTCAGGATGTAGAATTAAGGAGAGCTGTGGGGACGCTTCAAATGTACAGAGCAGGGGTCTGTATCTCACTAGTAGGCAGGCAGAAGCTTATTTTACTGTTATGACAAAAACAAAGAGCCTTTTCCATATGATTAACACCTTCTAAAAATAATTTAGAAAGTCATAGCATTAGTAACTTCAAAATTCTTAGTCTTGACTTATACTTCAGATTATATTAATAGCAATAAGTACATTATTCTCAGTGTTTTCCACAAGCTTTTCAAGTCCTATCCTCGGATATATTGATATGACAAAGTATATTGATCTTACTGTTTGTTACAAGCTTTTCTTTCTATCTTCACACATCTGGTCATGGAACAAAATATTCAACAACTCCAAAGTTAAGTGCTTCTACTGACTTCATGTTTGCCAAAGCCCAGAAATGAAAGGAAACTAGATTGCAAACATGACACTGATTAAATGGTAAAAATGATACAGAGATTGTTCAGCTGCTTTGCAGTAAACAGATTTTAATACACACTTTGTAAAGTGATATTTTTCAAAGTTATTAACTATTAACTGAATCAAGCCTAGTTTGAAAACCTCCTTAGAAATCTCCTAATAAAAACCTTAGTGAGAAGATATTTCTTATAAACTTCGTAAAGTGTACATTAACCAGGGGTAAAGAAAATAATGTCTAAAAGTACAAAACACAAAGACCTAATAAGACTAGCTTATCAGAGACAGAAATCTTATCCTTGACAGCAACATTAAATTGCGAAAATAAAGATGTATCCTATAACTAATTTGCTATATTCATAGTGGGGATGAGCTTAAATGCCTGATATCAATCATAATCATGTTAGCGTCTACCTTTTCTACATTTCCATCTCAACATATTCGATAGCTAAACATAATTGCCAACTGTGTCAAGATCTGCTAAAATTATATTTGAGGATTTGAAGTTAGTCTTTTCCCTACCATTCCAAAATGAAATAACTGTGTCTTTTAGATCAAAACTGTCACTAAGAATATTGAATAATCAATAAAACTTCAAACAGAGTAATATTGTAATCTTCAAACCAACTTCATTAAACAAGGCAACAGTTTGGTGTTTAATGCACTGATTTTCACATAATTCACCATTTGATAGTAAAAGGTTGAAATGGCTCATAATTGATAGAATTTCAGGAGTCAATGAGTGACTTAAAAAAAAAATAGTGTGTATTTTCGGGCAGGGGGAGATGGGAAAGGAGAATCCTACTTTTCCCTTGACTTTTTTTTTTTAATAATAAATTTTATTTTTATATTCCCCATACAATTGCAACCCCTTTATTTTGACCCCAATCCCTCCCCTCCCACCCCCTACCCCCCATAGAGTGTCTCTGGTTCATAGTTTTTTGTTGATTTTGATTTTCACTTGAAGTAACTCTTAATCTCAAACCAGCATAGGAGAGTTATCATTCACAGAGGCCACTGATACCTACTTTTAGCTCTACTCACAGACATTAAAGAATTTTAAACCTGATTTACTTAGTAATAGCACATATCCAACAGATTTCAGACACTTAAAAAAGTGAGAATTCCTTCTTTCAGAATTTAGTCATACACTACATATTAAAAAGAAAACATGAAAAAAACAACTATCAGTGGATACATCATAACTACAAAGTACAAAAGATTTAATCAGAGACCTAACTACAGCATTTATAAGTATAGCCAAGTCATTCATCTAATTACTACAATGCACACTGAAATATTTCAGTCTTCTCAATTTTCTCACTACATAAAGTGTCACAACTGCAGAAAAACTTCCCCAATGATAAGAATTCTATCCTTCCTTCTCATTTATCAAGACCAATTCATAGAAAACATTCACAGCACTTATGGATGCCTGGTAATATATTCTAGAACTGTTGATTTGGGAGGAAAATAATTCCACAAGTTTTTCTTAAAAATAACATTCAAGTGCAAGACATACAGCATTAATTCTCAGTATTTATATGTGGATAATGAAAAATCATATTCATTATAACATACATGAATCCCTAGAGAAAACCCTTTCAGTTTTTCTTTGACTATCATATTTATCTATTCAAATATGATGATCAAAAAAAAAAAAAAAAAAAACCGGGGAGGGGGGAAGGGAACATCTTCCTATTTATAATGAAAAGTCATGAATATGAATATCTCCAGTCAGTGTCCAATGGCTGCCAGACAAACTGGAGTGTTTACTCCAACATACATTTTTACTGTATTACTTTAAAATACCCTTTTCCTATATTTAAATTCCATATGAACAATACCCAAATCTGCTTATTCTTTACTCAAGCCGACATCTAAGATAGTACTTGTAAAATAACAGGCACTCAATAATGGATTTTTTAATAGAATACATTTAGCTGGTATAGGCAGATTAAGCTATAAACCAGAGTTCCTCTGGTTTGACTAGCTGTCAAATTCCTAATTCAACTTAGTTTTTAACAATAGCTAAATAAGACTAGAAGGCTAAAATTAAATGTCATCACTACAATAAACAGATCTTTAGTACATACTTTCTACATGCTAAACTTGGTAAAGAGGTAAATAAGACACATGCAATCTTTAGTCTCATGTTCAAGATTAGCTTATAGCTTGGAAAACAGATTGTAGGTGGTGAAATGTGATTAAAAAGATAGAACTGGAATATGCTAGATTCTTCGTTCATTCTTCATACTGCTAAGTTAAACCACACTTGCATGTCTCCACAGCTAGACATGAAAAGTAGTAATTTGTTCTAAATACTTGTGTGATCAATGATAATACTTCAGAAACATCAAATAAAATACTAATTGAGAAAATATAAAAGATTTTGATCATCTTTTTTATCATTAATTCACACTCAGTTTGTCACTCTAGTCCTCAAAATACATATATACATAATAAATGCACATATGCAGATTTATTTTATGCAGACATAAGCATTCAATTAATATACAATAAGAAGTTAAAAAGGACCTACCTTAAACCCTTATAGTTCCAAAATTCTGATTCTACCACTGCTCAGACATTTCATAACTTCTGCTTGAAATCATTCATTTAGAGAGTGAACTATGAAAATGTTGCCGAGTATAGGACATGTAGTTAAATTTGGATTTCAGATAAACTACAGTTTCTCAGTCAAATATGTCAGAAATTAAGATTTCACTGGACATCCTGTATTTTTTTTTTTTTTTGCTAGATCTGGCAAGAGTAAACTATAATTGTATCCTATAAAGATACCATTCCCAGTAAAGGAAAAAGTTAAAGGTATTTTACCTGCTATATCAAACAGAAATCAGTGAGTATACATACAATATCAAAATTCAACATGAAACTATGACACATTAAACTGATAGTTTCTTTTTAAAAAAAAAATCATAAAAATTAAATTTGTAGAAATTCTGAGAAAAAAATTTGGACCACAGAGTATCATTCAGTAATACAAAAAGTACTACTGAAACTGTATTTCTTCATGTATATAAATATTAATGTACTCCATTTTTACCTTGAGAAGTTGCTGAGGTATACCAGCTATTTATTTACACACATACCATGAAGAAAGTACTAGATAGAAATGACAGATTAATGACGGCTATTTAATGAAGTAACATGCCCTGATGATATTCAGATAGATGAATTACCTCACAGGATTACTAGTCAATGATACTCGGAGGGACTCCAGGCATGTGACAAGTCTCTCATCTGCAGCTCCCATTTTCAGTTCGTGGATAAATTCCTGAGATGAAATCTGTCGACTACTCTTAAGAGTTCCCTGTAAAATAAGCAGTAATAATAAGTAATTCATGTTGGGTGAAGATTTTCCATCAAAATAGTAATAATTTACATTAACCCATCTTTCATATTAACAAATGCACACAACTATTCTGTGTATTATCTTGAGGAGAAAATTCCATCCATCTCCCCATAAAACTTTAAGTCTATAATTCATGCAACTGCAAAAGATAGTGAAACCAAAAGGTTTGCCACATAAACTTTCAAATTCAAAATATCATAAAAACAATGAAGTATTTATCATAGGAATTATCTATCCATAGGATACAGTAACTTGTTTTAGTCACACACAAAAATAACAACTCAATACAATAATGATTATTAAAATGACTATTCTAAGCACCTAGAAAAAACTCGATCATTCAATGATCACTAAACACTTAGCTCTAGGTACTTTACTAGACGCAAAGATGATGAAAACCTAAGTCTGGAAGGAGAAACACAGGCAAGGAAATAACTTTGCAGTGAATTCTAATTCCTGTAACAAGGCACTCAAGGAACCAAAAGAGGAATACCTAACTGGCAAAGCAGATAAGGAAAGTCTGAGTAATAAGAAAAGGTAAGAGTTAGGAAGACAGGGCCTCCCTGGTGGCATAAGGGATTAAGCACCACACTATGAGACAGTCTGCAGCCTCTGCAGCACAAGTTCAAACCCCGGCTGGCCAAGTAGAAACCCACATGGTGAGGCAGACCTCTCCTGTCTTGCCTGCTGCTCCCCTCAGCAGTGTACTTCAGTTGGTCTGCCTGTTCTGTTCCCCACTCTGTCTCTGGTGAATCCTCTCACCCCCTGCATCTCTGGCCTGTATCCCAGCTCTTGTATGCAAAAATAAATAAATCTAAAAAAAAAAAAAAAAGAGGAAGACAAATATCTTCAGGTTTTTTGCATAAAATGCATGTGTACCCAAAAAGAAAAACAAAAGCATAGACAAGTGAGAATAGGGGCCCAACCATGGGCCCCAGTATCAAGATCACCACTACAAATTAGCCTTTGCAGGGGAGTTCTGGGTGGTTCACTTGGACAGCAGTATGAAACATGGTTTAGAAGAGTTAAGAGTTGACTAATAGTCAACAAACATTAAGAGTCTACTAAGTATCAGACATTGTTCTAAGTGCTGAAAACAATACAGTAATACAGTACATAAGAGACAAAAATCAATACATGTACAGTTTTATTCTCTGCGGGGAATAGTCAAGTGAGTTAGACCGTGTGACAATTAAAACATGGTGCACTGTAGACAGTATAAGTGTTATAGAGGAAAATAAAAATAAAATAGGCATAAAGAGTGCATAAGAGGTGGGATGCAATTTCAAATCAAGTAGTCAAAGCCAGCCTCACAGGAAAATTTTGAAGGTCTCAAACTTTAATTTAGATAAAGGTGTGAAGGATGTGAGAATATCTGTGCAGATATCTAGGGGGAAAAGCTGTAATGGGGGCCTCTCTGGTGGCACAGGGGTTAAAGACAGCACTATCAAGCTATTGTCAGCCATTGCAGCAAGAGTTCAATTCCCAGCCAGCTGTGGAGCAACCCACATGGCCCAGCAGACCTCTCCTGCCTCGCCCACTGTTCCTCTCAGCAGTGTATTTCAGTAGATACTCCTGTTCTGCTCCCCACTCTCTCTGGTGAATCCTTTCACCCCCTACACCTCTGGCTTACACCCCAGTTCTTGTATATGTAAATAAATAAATCTTTAAAAAAAAAAAAAAACCTGTAATAGAGGAGTTTCATAGGTCTTACGGGCCTCTTAAAGAAATGACTGACTGATGAGAAACATCAGAAGCAGAAAGACCTATTAAGAACATAGAGGAAATGATGAGGATATCACACTAACAACAAACTAGAATTATAGCTATTAAAATTACAGATTACAAATCCATAGGAAGGAAAAGAATTGCACATTCAAAAGTATATTATCAGATCAAGGTAGTGATACAAAAGGTTCCTTGCTTTGCTCCTGGGAGAACAATCTGAAATTTAACCAGAGGAGCTATAATCAGATGACCTAGGGATAAGCCAGAGCACTTCTTGGACATTAGAGATCAACACTAACTGCTGATACACAAGGAAGTGGATTGAACTCAACAACTACAAGGCACAGAGTGACCAATTAGAGAAGAAAACAAAACCCTCCTTTCCGCTGTCTCCAGGAAACCCATCTGAGTTCCAAAGATAACATAGGCCCAAGGTAATGTTTGGAAAACAAGCCTACAAAAAAAGGAGACTCAAAAAAGAAGGCAGGAACAGCCATAGTATCTCAGATAAAATAGACTTCTAGCTAAAAAATGTTAACGAGAGACAGGGATAGACATTATATAATGACCAAGGGGTCAATAAAACAGGAAGACATTACACTCATCAATATATGCACCAAATAAAAAAAAGAGCATCAAAATATATAAGGCAACTATTAAATCTGCAGACAGACACTGGTATTAACACAATAATGGTAAGGGATTTCAACACCCATTTTGATCAATGCACAAAAGAACCAGACAGAAAATAAAAAAGGCAATAATACCCTTAGGCCACATGAAGTTAGCAGGTATTTATAAGGCACTGCACTACAAAAAAAAAATGGTAAATACACATTTCTTCAGTGCTCATGGAACATTCTCCAAGATAACCACATGTTGGGTCACAAAACAAGTGTCAAAAAACTCATAAAATCTGAAGCCATATCAAGTATCTTCACTCCTAGGTATCTATCCAAAGAGCACGAAAATACTAATTCATGCAAAAGGAAATCTGCATGCATATGTTTACAGCAGCTCTATTTACAATGGCCAAGATATGTAAACAAATGTCCCAGAACAGATGAATGGATCAAGATATGTGCATAGACATAACTGAATACTATTCAGTGATTGAAGAAGATAACCTCATGACATCTGTGACAACATGGGTGGAACTGGAAAATTTTTTTCTAAGCCAGTGAGCCAGGCAAGAGAAATACCACGTTTTCATTTATATATGGAATCTAGAGAAACTAAACAAAGGATCAGAAAAAAGAAACTGTAGACTGACCCTTGAAAGTTGACTAAGACACTTCAGAGGGGAGGGGGAAAAGTCAAAAATGGGGGAGAAGGGAGGAGAGCATGGTGGGATGTGGTGGAGGGCCATTTCCTGGTGGTAAAACAATGGTGAATGCACCTGAGGAGAGAAACCCTATCTTGTGAAAAATTATACAAGGATGTTTTTAAAAAGCTCATAATTAAAGAAAGTATCATCTCTGATCACAATGGTATCAAAGGAGATCTCAACCATGAAAAGCAGGAAAAACCACAAATCGGTGGATACTCAATATACTATGAGTGTATATTGGACTAACAACCATTGGGTTAATGAGGAAATCAAATAATGAAAAAAGTACCTGGAGATAAAGAAAAATGAAGACATGAGCTACCAGAATTTCTGGGATGCAGCAAAAGCCGTACTAACAGCAATATAGGCCCACATTAACAAATAAGAAAGAGCTCACCTTAAGAAGCTAGAAAGAGATGAACAAATGAAACCAAAAGCCAGTAAGAAGACAGTATAAAAATTAGAGATCTTAAACAAAAATCAAAAAGTCAGTCCAAAGGTCAATGAAACCAAAAAGTTAGTTGTTAAAAACAATGAAATAGACAAATATCTAGCAAGGTAGGCTCACAAAGTGGGGGAGGGGGTAAGGGGAGAAAACACTAGTAAATAGACACAAAAGAAAGAAAAGTTGCAATGGGCATCCACAAATACTAGAGGATCATAAGAGACTACTATTACCATTTATAAGCCAATAAATGTAATAATCTAGAATGGACCAATTCTTAGAAATATACCACCTTCTGGGCCTTCCTGGTGATGCAGCGGGTTCAGCACAGTGCAGTGAAGCTGTTCGCAGCCTCTCCAGTGAGGGTTCAATTCCCAGCCAGCCAGGGAGATTCCCACACGGCGCAGCAGACCTCTCCTGTCACGCCCGCTGCTCCCCCTCAGCAGTGCTTTTGGTCCGTTTGCCTGTTTTGCTCCCCACTCTCTGGTGAATCCTCTCGCCCTCCCGTGCCTCTGGCCTATACCACAGCTATTGCATAAACCAAAAATAAATCTTAAAAAACAAAAAGAAATATACCACCTTCCTAGACTAAATTTACAAGAAACAGAAAACCTGAGCTACAACTACAAGCAAAAGAATTGAGACAGTCATCAAAAGTCTCCCAAATAGTAAAGAGCCAGGAACAGATGCTTCCACTACTGTGTCCTGCCAAACCTTCAAAGACAAATAAATACCTTCTTCTCTAACTCTTCCCAAAAACTGAGAAGAAAGAAACCTCACATTTTAGGATGCCAACATTACTTTGATACCAAATGTATATATGTATAACAAAATAAAACTTTGAAAGGAAGAAATCTTACTGTAAAAACTTACTGGGAAAGGAAGGGTGGAGAGCAAAGACAGGAGAGGTCACAACAGTCTACGGTGGAGGACTATAGATGTTTTGGTGGCATGGTATGCTAACAAGAATCTTAAGAGTTATGATTTCCTATCTCTGAATCATAAACAGTTTTAGTAACCAATGTTTCCTCAATAAAATACATCAAATTAAAATTTGAAAAAAGCAGATTAGTTGGGATGGCAGAAAACCATTATTTATCTTTTTCATTTCCTTTGATTTGTATTGATTTAATGTCATGTTGTTTAAGGAAACATTCCCAATAATGGAAAACAAATTAGCACTGGGAAATGGGTGATTTTCATCAATAGCAAAGTGGTTCTTTTACAAGAGAAAAACTCACTGGGAATATTCTCAGGAAATAAAATGATAAAGTTGGAAGAGGAAATGAAAGTGGTGAGAGAACAGTTAAAATGATCATCCAGTTTTTTTAAATCAGTAACTTCTGATCATTAAAAGGATAATACCATTGAAGTTGTACTGACATAGCACTTAGCAATGTCTTTTTCCCAAAGCAATGTCTTTTTACCTAAAATTTACTGTTAATTTACCTTTAA